GAATATGGTTGGCGTGGACTGGTTGGATCGAAGGTTCTGTTTCCACACTGCATGACTCTGACTCTATAAAAGCAGAACGGGAATGATTTTGTCAATATGCTCAACTGTCAACTCTCCAGTGAACTTAAAATCATGACACATAAGGAAATCATAAATTTCCTAGATGGCGCATTTAAATTGATACAAGACCACAGGGAAAAAAACGAACAATTTTTTTCTAAATCACTCCTGCAAACACTCTGCGTGTCTATGGAAAGAAGAGGAGTTAACGTTTCAAATATAATGAGATTTCAATGTAATTCATCTTGCGTCTCATTTACGCACTTGAATTTTGCTTTACAATGTTCCTGTGAAGCACCATCATGTGTTTAATTATGTTGAAAGCCCTACCTAACCACTTGTTTGTGCTGTCTTCTACACTTTTTAATAAGATACATAACCACATCATTTACTTCCAGCCTGCTCTGCAGCTTGAGAACAAAAAAAAACAAGGCTCGGAGATAGCAAGAACTGCAGGTGCTGGAGTCAGTCAATACAATGTGGAGCTGGAGGAACACAGCAGGTCAGGCAGCATTAGAGGAGCAGGAAAGTTGACATTTCAGGTTTACACCCTTCATTAGACTGTATTGAAAAACCAAGGCTGATATTCCAGGGCCGTACTGTGGCAGTGTCAACTGTCAGCGATACCATCTTTCAACAAGACATTAGACCATTGTCCTGTCTTCCTGCTTAGCTATTTGTCAAGGATCCTGTGGCACTGTTTTGAGGAAGAGGAGTTATTCCCAGTTGAAGATTTTGTATTGTCAAGAATGTTTGCTGAAATAACATAGTGGGAGATGGAATGTTTAATATCTCAATTCTCAGTTTTAATTCTCAGTTGACATAACAGCATTAGGATCAGGAAACTTTAACAATAGGGTAGATTGAATTTTGAAAGTGGACCTGGGTGGCTAAGCTAATTTGCTATTATTCCTATTTGCTAAACAATAAAGTCAGTGATCTTAAGAGACCTAGATTTCTATCCAGTAACTTCAAACAAACATTTTTTTTTAATGCATTCATGAGATCTGGATGTTGCTGGCTAAGCCAGCAGTTATTGCCCTGTAGATGGTGTAGTGAGCTACCTCGAACTCCTGCAGTTAACTGCTTCCACAGCTTTGTTGGGAGGGAGTTCCAGGATTTTGGCCAAATGCCAATGAAGGAATGATAATTATAGTTCCAGGTCAGAATGTTGTGTGGCTTGGAGGGAAACTTTCTGCTGGTGGTGGCATTCCCATGCATCTGCTACCCTTGTCCTTCTAGTTGGTAGAGTTTGTAGATTTGGAACGGTTGTTGCAGGAACTTAGGTGAATTACTGCAGTGCATCTCGTAGATGAGATGTTGGTGGTGGAAGATGGCTGGCATTGTTTTGAGAAAACTTCTGTTGACTTGCTTCAAGGTAATGGGCCTTCTGTAATTTCTACCGGTTTATGTATTTCCTGTAATTGTGATGTAATTTTAAGGTCTACTAATCATCATTGCTGTTATAGATGTTTTTCCATAAATCCTGGAGGAACAACATGTACTGCAAACAGCAGCCCTATAATAATTTTTCAGCCCTTGATGCTTCAGGTAGCTGCTTAGTCAGGCCTCATGAGCACTGCAAGCCATGTTGAGCAGCCTTAGGAAAGTTTTTTTTGTATCTGCACTGGAAGGGGTACTTTGCTGATTCAGCAAAATTAAGATTTGAAGGGCTGTTATGGACATAGATTAAATGGTGTTTGAATCAAGGGGCTTAAAACAATAAAGAAATTCAGTGGGGTAGATGTATTGAATTATTTCCTCTGGGAAATCGAGCAGAAGGCATAAACGTGAACATTAGAACTTCAGTCATATAGGAATAAAATCGGAAAGCTTCTTTTCTTTTCTTCTCTTTTCTTCTCTCTTTCTTTTCTTTTCTTTTTGTTCAAAAATACTTAATTCTGGAACTTATTTTTTCTCTTACCCGACCCCCCCCCCCCCAAAAAAAAAGTCTGTGGGTGTTGGAACAATTATTTTTAAATAGTGTTTTGTAGTTTTTTTTGTGTGTGTCAAGGGATATTAGAAGCCTTCTCTTGCTGAAACCTTTGTTATATCTAAACATCCTGCAGGGCATCCTAGATTTCTGTTGCCTGTTGCACTTGGTCTTCTAGCATGGCTAAGAAAAGATCAACTTGATTTGAGCCCGGCTCAGATACCAAATGAACAGACTGGATTTATTTCCCCAACAAGTAAGGATACATACAAGGCAGCACAAATTTATTTGCAATGGCATCTTAAAAAGTTATCTTTACTGTAAGACTTTTGTCCTTGTCAGAATTAAATGAAAGTGTATTCTTAATTGTCTCTGAACATTCCAGTACTATATGATGCATTGAATTATGGTTTCATTGTTGTTTTTCTGTGACTATTTCTAGAACACAAATGGCTTAAATGTACAATTTTATAATTTCTGATATAGGACTGAAGATATTACATAAAAATTGAAAGAACTGTGTATGCTGTAATATCTTCAACAAAAAACAAAGTTGCTGGAAAAACCCAGCAGGTCTGCCTGCATCTGTGATGGAAAAAACAGTTAACTTTTCGGGTCCAGTTCTGAGGAAGGGTCACCGGACCCAAAAACTCTTCAGTTTTAAATGGACTCCAATGGACTCTTGAAATGGTTGCAAAGGTGTCAGTTGACTTTTGCAAATTTTTGTGTAATTTGAGACCTATTTTCAAAGCTGACTCCTTGGGTCTTTAGAGATAGTAGGAACTGCCAATGCTGGAGAATCTGAGATAACAAGGTGTAGAGCTGGATGAACACAGTAGGCCGAGCAGGAAAGCTGATGTTTTGGGTCTAGACCCTTCTTCAGAATTTCTTGTTATCAGAATTATCTTGTTACACCTTATTATCCTTGAGTCTTTACTCAGGTTTATCATGTAACAAAGGAAAGCCATCAAGATCCATTCACAACAGAGAAAGTGTGAATGACCTCCATTTTCCTGCTGCTGAAGATCAGTGGCCTTTGACCATGTGATTGAATCTAATTCTTGTTCTCAAAAGGACATGTTTTGCCTTGTATTGTAAACCAATGGCCAGTAATCATGTAATTGATTTCCTGATCTAAGATTTTTAATTTCAAAACCCCAAAGACTCCTGGTAGTCTGAAAACTGATATCAGCAGTGCTGCTGCAACAGAGAAAAACCTTGCCATTGTAGCTTCTAAGATCTGTGAAGCTTTACAAGACTCCTCCAGCCTGTTCTGAAAAGCTCAGGGAGCACCTGCAATGATATTGGACTTCTAATCACCTCCGCTTCCAAAGCTTCAATATGTGACCTGCTGAACAGTCTTTGCTTTGAAAGAACTCTGCAGTGATCCAAAACTGACCCTAACCATCTGAAGATGTTGAAACTTCAATTCTAGAGTGGGAAAAGCTCTCTTCTTTGTTGGACTCAAACAATGTGAACTGCTAACAATTTTGTTTTGAGACTTCTAAAAGTATACTCCCATTTTTAAAATTATACCTTTCTTGAGTGTATGTTTTGTGACTGTTGACAAAGTGACGGACTTGCTGGGGTGTATGTAAATAAAAAATATGCAAATCCATGATATCAGCAGCAGGCTAGCTGCAAACAGAGTTTGAGAATATGCTGATCAGCATTTTCAAAATGAAACTACATTGATTACAGACAGTTAGGAAAGAGGCATTGGGGATTTTGTTTTATCCATCTCCTCCTGTCTGAAACACCTTTTTTTTTGAAATGCATGAATGTTGTGGTAAATTCCAGATGAGTGTAAAAATAATACATATTGAAGTTACAAATTTAATTTGCATAGTAGTTCCTTTTGATGGTTCTGATCTTAGTTTAAAAGATTGTAATCTACACTGTTCAAATTATGTCTTTTCAATTTAATTAAAACAATGTACTGCTTGGAAATAGAAGAAGAGAAATCTCCGAGAAGCAAGACATTCTGGAGCTATTGAACATATTAGACCCTCTCTGGCATTAGACTTTACAGTTGTACAGTGCCCAGAAAGTAGATCATTTCAAATGTGTATCTGTTTAATTACAAAACGTATTTCAGTAGGTCATAACTTCTTATTTTATTATTTGTACTGTGAAGGAGTTCGTGATGAGCTGCTTAACTTCTGCTTTGCCATTCCTTTGTTTCAACAGTTAATGATGTGTCATGGAAGTTGTAGTTTTAATTGCATAGTAATTCCTCTGGTCCTGTTTCCAGGTTGGGATATCCACGAAGGGATGTAGTTCTCACTGCTCAAACTAATATCTTCCTGCATTGCTTAACACCATATTCTATGGAAATAGAAGATAAAAGGCAAAGATAATTGTCTCATTTTAAAATTGTATACTCAGCCAAGGTTTTTGTGATTCTGCTGCAGTTTTCATTTAGGTCCAGAGGTTTGTGGTTCAAGTTGTAATTATCATTTACAGCCTTCACATTTTTTTTTCTTATTTGTGCTCAAGTCTTGAGTGGTTTGTAGTTTCATGTCTCAAAGTGTTGTTGTTTTCATCCCATCGTTCAGAGTTGGACTATTTTTATCTTCTTGCCTTTGAGAGGCTGGAGCAAAAGTATCTTTGGTATAAATTGTGCCTAATTCAGTAATACGTTGGCAGCCTTGTTGAAAAGCTATAGAATGGCAGGTGCAAAAAATGAAAAGCAATTCCCTGTTGCAATACACCATAAAGGAAACAACATTGACGCACAAAATGTGTTGCACCTTAGTTGATATGCTTGATACCGTTGCTGGTGCCCCCAGGTAGGCAGTGATCCATTAACCTTTGACTGCAAAGAAACTTTGTACAACTGCTACTTTGAAAATAATAGGGGGAAACATCAAAAACAGTGGCAAGTCCTAGTAAAACTGGGGGAATGGATTGATTTCCATCTCTTTACAGTTACCAAAATATGTAAATGCTCATAATTAGTGATGTAATTTTCCTGATCTGACTAAATTCCCATTGGCTTTTGCAGCTTTATCAACAAGGACGCTTATGCCAACTTGGTGGTGAATTCTGTGAGCTTGAGGTGTTTGCCAAGGTGCTTAGAGCATCAGACAAAAGGTAGGAATTCTTGTTCCTGCGTCCGTGTAGAAGTTTTAATATAATCTGAATTTGATATTTCCAGCCAACTGTGTGCAGATTTTGGATCTGAAGGCAACTGACAAGTAATAGGATTCTAACCTGAAATTTGGCAATGTGGAATTGCACAGTGTTCTTTTCTACCCTACTTTCCGTAAATGCAATGTGCTTGAAATCATCAGTGTTAAAATGTTTTGAGTTAAACAGCAATTTTCTGACTTCCAAATATACTAACAAATTGGAGTATCGGTCTGTACCTTTTTGGTTTAACCACCCCCTATAGGTCTGTTTGATACTTTTTGAATGTTATTTTTAATCTGCTTTAATTATATTTTCCTGATGGGCAAAATTAACCCCAATTCAAATAGTAATTTTAGTTTTGTGTTTGATTGACAATATATATAATTCTTTCAAGACCAATTTACTTTTCTTATTCTTCGGCTGAACAGCCGTTGTAGACATTTCTTTGGTGATTGAAAAAAAAATTAAAATAAAATGACTCCAGCTGTCTTCCCACCTCACATTGATGGCTAGATACCAAAAGATGCCCCACTCTTTTTACCAAACCTCTGTCACTTTTACAGCTCCTCCTCCTCTTGGAGAGTTATTCCCTTTACCTCTGGAATAGATAACTCCAGAGGTTTGCAACCTCTATGAATGAAGAACTGACTACTGCTTTCAGTCTTAATAGCCAGCTCCTTTTATCCTGAGACTGATCTTTAGTTCTAGACACTCCAATCAAGTGAAGTAGCCTCTCATTGTTCCTCCCTGTTAAGCCCATTGAGGATTTTAAAATTTCAATGAGTTTTTTATTTGTTCTGAACTCAGGAGAGCATGGGCCCTTTCTGTTCAGTTTCTCCTGGTGACTTTCTGTGACTTTGCTTTAGTCAACTATCACCTTGTTTTGTGCTGTATTTTGGCCAGTTTGAACTCGGTGATATTTTTGTTTGTAATTTTTGTACCTGGAGTTCATGCTGGTCTGGAAAAAAATCTCCAATTGAAAATAGTCCATGATAACACTGTTCACTTTATCCGAGGGAGATTTTCATTTATGGTATAATATTTTCAGGTTTAGGAGTCTTTTTAAAAACTTGATGGGGATGGTGGGGGAAGAAAGTGTCTGTTCTCAATGAATATTTTTATTTGTGAGGTGTACAGTAAATAATTTGTCAAGCAGATCCCTTACCTGACAAAACATAGATTAAATTTGCCCTGTTCACATAGTGTTTGATGCTATCAGAATAGTACAGCAGAGACTTGCCTGGTTTCAGTATATTCTCCAAGATCAAACTGAAGAAACTATGGCATGTGAAGCAAGTAATATTAAGGGACAGAAACTGGCGAACAGACATTCCCAGTTGATGTTTAGCATAGTGCTTTGAAATGTGGTAGCACCCAATATGAACAGCAAAAATTTTAAATGTGCAGTATATGTTCTTTGTACAAAATGGTTGTGCATGGGATTGTAATCCTGGATGAGGAAACGTTCTGCATGTGGCCTCCGCATTGAAACTACATTTAACCAAATTAGTTTCTTCAAGATTATGCACTGTGTTCTGTTCTCTTGGGGGTGGGGTGGGGGCGCATGGGCATTGAATGAAAGCCAGTAATATTGGGAAGGGCTGGCAAGTTGATGATGATGAGAATGGTTGAAAACTTGGAAAGTACTGAAGCTCAGCTGGACCTTCATGTACCAATCCACAGATCTCTGAAGGAAGCAGGACTGATGGATAAAATGGTTCAGAAGACAGATGGGATACTTTGCTTTTTTTATTCAAAACCTCAGCTAGAGGGTTTCACCAGAACTGTGAAACACTGGTTTGGTCACAGCTGGAGCACATTTCGGGTCACTGCACCATTGGAAGGATGTGATTTGCGCTTGTGAGGACATACTAGAGATTTATCAAGATGCTGCTGGCACCGGAGGGTCAGAGCCATGAGAAAAGATTGGATGAGCTGGGGTTGTTATCCTTGCAGCTGCAACGGTTGAAAAAGGACCTGATAGAGGTGTATAAGATTGTGAGGGGCATGGATAGGGTTGACCTGAAAACACGTTTCCATTAGAGGAGGTCAATAATCAGGGAAAAATAGATTTTACGTAAAATGGTAGAAGGCAAAGAGGAGAGCTCAGAATTGTTTTCACTTGGAATGGTGTGAGTTTGGAACTCACCAACTGAAAGGTGGTCGATTAGAAGCACTTGTAATATTTGAGTAGTATTTAGAAACTTGAGTGTTGCCATAACCTTCATGGGCTTGATGTAGTCAGCTTTGACTAGCATGGACATGACAGGCTGAAAGGCCTACTATCCTGTAAACCTCTCTGTCTATGTATCTATAAATCTATTGTTGTCATTCTTCAGGATAATTGGATGATAGGAAACTGAAGTATTTAACATTTCTCTGATTAGAGAAGTTGGTGTCATCTGCTAACCTAGAAATTGTATTGTCAAGCTTAACACATTTAAATTATCAGAATTCTAGAAATTGAAGAATTTAAATGCAAATATCATTTTTTTTTTCTTTTACTGAAACCCTGATGTATTAAAATTGTTCATTCTTCAAAAATAATTTGTTTGGCAAATTGAAAGAGAAATGTACCCAGTGTGGACTGCAATTTGATTACCTCTTCTAAAGAGTTTTTAAAAAGTTCCGCCTAGCATTTTGGTTTAGAAAAAAAAACTAATTGAAGAAAATGAGTTTGCCTGAGACCTCCTCGGATTTTAACGTCCTTTTAGAAAAAGAGCATGTCGCAGCCTCACATTCCAAGACCAAAGTCTGCTATTGTTGTTCTAGGTTTACATTAATCTATTCCCAGATGTCTACTAGTGTCATTGTTTCTTACCACTTTTTTTTTTCTCTCCTCCTCCACATTCAAACAATCTTTGATTTTAAATATTCTTCCCATTAAATGTTAGTGTATTTGTGTTGGGTCGATTTTGGCAATTTTCTTGACTTTTAGCAGTTCAGAAGAAATTAATTGCAGGCCTTGATGTAATTGTCAACTTTTGAATGCAAGTTACAGAAGAGAAAGAGGCAATATTAGAAACTCTTAAATAGACATGTATACTTATACAAACATGAAGTCCTATTTTGAGTAGAAGCTAAACTTGGCCTTAAGTGAAAGGAGCTGGTTCCTCTAAGCTTAGTTTATTATGTTTTGTAAGTTACTGTAAATTTCCACATTCTGAAACTTTAGCATCTGGTATTGAACATAAGTGTACTAATGCTGCTGTGATATTGGCATTCAAATCACCACCTGAAAAGTGTTTCAAATTATTTTGTTTGCGTTCCTGGTGTCATTCATTCATAGATTTTCTCTTGCAGAATGGAAAGGCCTAAACTGAGTTTCTGCAAGTCATTTTTCAGATTTATAAAAAGAAAACTTTTTCAGTTAAGTGACGCACGCGCACACGCACACGCACACCATTACTGGATTTTAAAAGGGGAGAGAACGTGCTTTGGGGCTTCTAGCAACATGGAAACACCATAAAATGTGGAAACTTTTTTACCCATCAAGTCTCCTCTGCCTTTCACTGAGATCCTTGTTGATTTGATAATCCTCAACTCCACTTTCCAACCTTTCCCCTTCACCATTTACTCCCTTACTGATTAATCTGTCTCAACCTTGCATTTATTTAATGACCCTGCCTCTACAACATTTCTACAGTAATTATTCCTTCTTCTTATCTTAAAGGAGCAACTCCTTACTCTGAAATTATGCCAGTGCTGCTAGACCCTCATCTGAAAGGGAAACAGTACCTCGGAATTTTACTCTGTCACACCTTCTAAGGATTTTTCAGTGCTTTAGCAAGGTCGCCCTAATTCTTCTAAACCCTAATGACAGCATACAGAAGCTGCTGCATGACGGGATCTACTGAGTAAATCTCTGAAATGTCTCCATTGTCAGTATATCTTGCCTTAAACAAAGGGACCAAAACTGTTCACAATATTCTAGGTGTGATCTAACTTAGCTTGTATAGTATTTGCAAGACTTTGCTACTTTTGTTCTCCATTCACAACACACAAGAACATAAGAGCTAGGAGCAGGAGTAGGCCATCTGGCCCTTCGAGCCTGCTCCGCCATTCAATAAGATCATGGCTGATCCTTTCGTGGACTCAGATCCACTTACCCGCGTTCTCACCGTATCCCTTAATTCCTTTATTGTTCAAAAAAAATCTACCTTTTTTTAAACAGCATTTACTGAAGTAGCATCAACTCCTTCACTGGGCAAGGAATTCCACAGATTAACAACCCTCTGGGTGAAGAAATTCCTTCTCCGTTCAGTCCTAAATCTGCTCCCTCTAATCTTGAGGCTATGCCCTCTTGTCCTAGCTTCATCTGCTAGTGGAAACATCCTCTCTACTTCTATCTTATCTATTCCCTTCATAATTTTATATGTTTCTATAAGATCCTCCCTCAATCTTCTGAATTCCAATGAATATAATCCCAGTCTACTCAGTCTCTCCTCATAAGCCAACCCCCTCAACTCCGGAATCAACCTCGTGAACCTCCTTTGCACCCCCTCCAGTGCCAGTACATCCTTTCTCAAGTACGGAGACCAAAACTGCACACAGTACTCCAGGTGTGGCCTCACCAGCACCTTGTACAGCTGCAACATAACCTCTCTGCTTTTTATTTCAATCCCTTTAGCAATGAAGGACAAAATTCCATTTGCCTTCCTAATTACTTGTTGTACCTGCAGACCTACCTTCTGTGATTCATTCCCTTCAAAACAATGGCCAGCATTCCACTTACATTCCCTATTACATGCTGAGCTTGTATGCTAGCCTTTTCTGATTATCTACAAGGCCACAAATCCCTTTTGCTGTAATTTTCTGGAGTCTTACCCCATTTAAGTAATATTCAGCTCCTCTATTCTTGCTGCCAAATTGCATAACCTCCTATTTTCCCACATTGTATTCTATCTGCCAAGTTTTAGCTCACTTAACCTGTCTGTATACCTTCACAGACTTTTTGCATCATCCTCACCACTTCCTTAGCAACTATTTTTGCCTTCCGGTTGGCTCTTAGTTAATTAACTATATGTGCATACCATTCCAAACGTCATTGGAAGTCCAAATGTATTCACAGCTACTGGGTATCCTTTAACCATTCTGTTTGTTATCTCCTCAAAGAATTATAATAAATTCGTTAGGAAACCATGCATTTCTAAATGCTCTGCTATTATGTCCTTTTATAATAGTCTTAACATTTTCCTAATGACAGATGTTAGGCTAATTGACTTGATTTGTTTCTCTCCCTTTTTTGAATTAAGGATGTTACATTGGCAGTTTTCCAATCCTCTGGGATTTCAAGAATCTAAGCATTCTTGAAAGATTATAACCTGTGTATCCACTATCTGTGCAGCAACAGTCTTTAATGTCCTGGGGTGTAACTTATCAAGTCTAGACACTTGGGTTGACCTTTTTGCCTCATTAGTTACCCTATACTTCTTTTAACAAGAGTTGTATTTATTTCCTCCCTCTCCTTTTGGCACTTGAGATGGAGGTAGTAAGTTAAAATAGGATCACATTGGAAAAGAGTTGATACAGCACTGCCATAGTTCTTTGCTTTGTTTCATGGGTACATAATTCAACAAGGTCATATGCTCTGAATGTGGACCACAGGCTGTATGACATGCACTGACTGGATTGATAGCTGAAATGCTTTATAGGCAAAAAGGCAAGCTAATGTTTTGACCAACTTGAAGCCTATTAATTCTGCCCATATTAAAAGGCCTGGAAGCAATTGCACTTGACTATAAATCATTAAAAAGTGTGACTATTAATGATTCCTTAGAGTCATAGAGATGTGCAGCATGGAAACAGATCCTTTGGTCCAACTTGTCCATGCCAACTGGATATTCTAGATAAATCTAGTCCCATTTGCCAGCATTTGGCCCATATCCCTCTAAACCCTTCCAATTCATGTACCCATCCAGATGTCTTTTAAACATTGTAATTGTACCAGCCTCCACCACTTCCTCTGGCAGCTCATTGCCTACACGCAGCACCCTCTGCATGAAAAGGTTGCTTGTTAGGTCCCGTTTTTTAAATCTTTCTCCTCTCACCTTAAACCTATGCCCTCTAGGGAAGACGAGAGAAGTTGAGATTTTGGTCAAGAAAAAGAAGGAAGCAGAGATTGAGTGAATTCTTAGAGTATAAAGGCAGTAGGAGTATACTTGAGGGAAATCAGGAAGGCAAAAAATGGGACATGGAATAGCTTTGACAAAGTGTTAAGGAGAATCCAAAGGGATTTCTTAAATGCATTAAGAACAGAAAGGTAACTACAGAGAGAATAGGGAGCCTCAAAGATCAGCAGGGCCGCCTATGCATGGAGCTGCAGGAGATGGTGGGGATACTAGACGATTATTTTGCATTAGTGTTTGCTGTGGAGAAGGATATGAAAGGTGTAGAGTGTGGGGAAATAAATAGCAACATCTTGAAAAAATGTCCATATTGCAGAAAAGGTAGTGCTGGACAGTTTAAAAAGTATAAAGGTGAGTAAATCCCCAGGACCTCATCAGATGTACCCTAGTACTCTGGGAAGCTAGGGAAGTGATTGCTTGGCCCTTTGCTGAGATATTAGTATCATCGATAGCCACAGGTGAAGTGCTAGAAGACTGGAGGTTGGTTAACGTGGCACCCCATTTAAGAAGGTGGTAAGGAAAAGCCATGGAATTGTAGACCAATGAGCCTGACATTGGTGGTGGGCAAGTTGTTGAAGGAAATCCTGAGGGACAGGATTTACACCTATTTAGAAAGGCAAGGACTGATTAGGGATAGTCAACGTAGCTTTGTGCGTGGGAAATCATGTCTCGCTAACTTAATTGAGCTGTTTGAAGAAGTAACAGAGGATTGTCACTAGAAAATGTAAGACCTTTTTGTCTTCGGCCGCACTCCCCCTTGAATGTAGTGCAATGAAAAGATGTATCGTGTTGTATTACCCTTTCCAATAAACAAAGGCGAGGGTTGAGATACAGTCATGTTTTAGTTGTAATTTTGTCTATAAAGCTGTCATGCACACTAAAATAGTTGCTGCTGAGTTTTAGAGGAACTAAATGAGTAGCTACTGTATCTTCAATTTTTAGATTCAGCTTTAGCAGTGTGCATTTTTTTAAAAAGAATTCTGTATTACCGGATCATTTTCAGGATTGCGACTTTTATTTTGTGCAACTCTATTGATGTTGTGCTGCTGAAAACAACGGGTCCCAATGTGGCTTGTGACTGCAGACTGTTCGCGTATTCTACTAGATGTTATTGTTCTCATTATAAATTCCTTTCATCAGTCATTCCAGCTTGGATAAATATTTAAATTTCATGCATAGTTGCAGAATATCGGATTCTGAACAGGAGTAGACCACTCGGCTGTTTTGATTCTGCTCTAATTCAGTAAATCATACTTGATCTGGTTGTGGTCTTGACTTAGTCTTTTTTCAAACTAGCCCCCGCCCCTGTCCTAAACCCTTTATTCCTTTGTTTACAAAAAAACTGCCCAAATCTGCCTGGAGAAAGTTCAATTTAATTCAAGTATCAAGTCAAAAACGGGGCATTCATGTAGCACAGTGGACCATAGGTAACATTTATTCTGTTGAATTCAAATTTTACATCTATCATGGTGGAATTTGAACCCATGTCTCCGCAAAATTTAATGTAGGGTTCTGGTACATTGTTAGATATGCCACCATCTCCCAACATGTTCACGGTCTTCTCAGCCCAGGACTTAATTGCAGGTTTTTATTAGAGCAGTGTCCTAAGCCAACCATCATCACTTTCTTCATCAATGACCACAGATTCCATCATAATGGGGATGCTTGCAGCTGTTTATGCATCACCTTTTCTGTAATATGGACATTTTTCAAGATGTCGCTATTTATTTCCCAAAAACTGGATGTCGAAGCAGTTTGTGTCTAAGTGCCGCAACACCGGGACAATATCCCAGGCTTGGGCTAATAGGGGAAAGTAACATTCACACCACAATTCATGCCAGGAACTAATTTTGTTTTGAATTTTGTGCATGATTTTCATGTTAAGGTCCTTGTTTTGGAGGCTCTGAGTGCCATTTGTAAATTGCAAGTGCTGCATGTACACTTTTAGTACTTGCGTGGATGTGCAAGAAATATTCTGGCAAGTACTCAGCTGATTGGTGGAGCGTTCCAGTATGAGAAGTGCAAGATATGCAAGTTTACCATATTTGATTTTGGTTCAGTAGGATTGTGCGCTTTTTTTTTTGGAACCCATGATTTGAAACTAGCTGAGACAAAGGAAGACTTTATTAATTTAAATTTTCTCCATTTTTGTCTTTGAACAACGTTTTCTCTTCAAGGCAGTGCAAAGCAAACTAACAGTCTCCATGTTTGTCTTTGTAGGGATAGGCTGTGCTAACCAAAGGATCACTGCGCAGAATAAGTTAACGATTTTATTCCTAAAGTCTACAAAGATAGCCTAGTTAAATAGCATTGTGATAAATATCGGTGGTGTTGGTCAGCAATACAAGGGTAGTTTATTTTGCATCTGCTCCAGTTTTTTGGGATGTCAACATTGGGTTTCAACTGAACATGTTCTGTACATATGCACAACTATCCCTTTTTACCAGATGCATAAAAATATAAGAAATCAGGATATTTCATTTAACATAGAAGCTTTCTCCCATTGCTAAATATGTAATCACACTATCAGTACATCAATTTCTTTCTCCTTCCTGTATCCATTCTTGATTCCCTTTTAATACATATATGCAATGCCCTCGCATGGAATGGTTGGGGAGAGGTCAAATTAGCACTTCTCTATTTAAACCTTATTGGATAATATTGCTGACTGTGTTTTATGTTTCTTGTAACTAGTTTTACACTGACTTAAGTGGAACCATCCACTCCATTCTGCCCTATTGAACTACTGCATATTTTTTGAGAGCCTCATTTGGGTCATCTGTCCAAAGTGCCCAATCTTCCCTGGTGGCTGTACTCTGTTAATTCTGGGATAGTACTTTTTCTAAATCAATTTTGCACTTTCTCCAACGCTTGTAATCTTTTGCACACCTTTGTGTAGTCTAGAATTAGGACCTGTGCACAGCGTTCTGAGTGTGAGCTTACCACAGTTCTGTAAATGTTTAAATAGTTTATTTGTTTTGAAATCCATCCCAAATGAACTTTTGTACTTTTGTAAGGCTTTAATAACCTGGCTTCCTGCTTTTAATAATTTGTGACAATCCCTAGATCCCATTTTTGATCCACTTCAGTTTGCTACTAAAGTTTAATACCTCGCATACCTGTCTTGAAATCTGTTTGCCATATAATGTCCTTTGCAAATTTATTAATTTTGTCTTGTATTTGGCACAGTTATCGACTGTATTAACTGCCTAAATGGACTTCATGAAGTGCTATTACATACATACTTTTTTGTTAATACCGGTGATGAATTCCTCCCTCCAGAATTCTATAGTCAGTAATTATATAAAGAAATTGATTTTATTTTCAATGGATTTATTTTAAAGTGTACATCATTTTGTGCTTAATCAATTTCATTATCTTTCTACTAGGCATCTCCTTCACCACTGTTTTCAAGCTTTAATGGATCATGGAGTAAAGGTGGCTTCGGTGTTAGCCAATTCTTTCAGCAGGCGCTGTTCGTATATTGAAGAGTCGGATGCTCATGTGAAAGAGAAGGCAATCCAGTTTGGATTTGTTTTAGGTAAGAATTGACTTTAAGTTGCTTTTGCTTTCTAATGCATTCATCAACGAATCTGAAGGAGAGAATGTATTTGGACTGTGATACAAAGGTAGAGACTTCTTTGTTGAAATCTTCAATTCTGTTCATTCTTATTGTCTTTCAGAATAAAATGCAGATAGTTCACTTGCATTGTTGACAAAGTCGTCAGTGCCAATCATTTGGCATTGATTTTAGTCTTCAGGATCTACAATTTTCCTTCCAATCAGAATAAGATACCAGAATCTTCATAATTTGTAATTGCAAAGTTTGAATTTGGTGTGTATGTTTATTTAAAGATTTAATAATTGCTAGCTATTCATTGGATATAGTTTATTGAAGGGTGTAAAATGTATATCCTTTCTGCTGAAAAACCTTTTTAAAGATTTAAAGTTGTTTTTTGCTCTGTGTATCCCATAAGAAGGGAGGACTGAAGAAAGCACAATAGAATCACTTCAAAATTGACAGCTGGCGGGTAGTGCAGCTGTCATTTAGGAAGCTGAATTTTAGGGCTGTTGTGGTACAGTGGTAATGTCCCTCCCTCTGAACAAGGAGGCCTGGGTTCCAGTCCCACCACCTCTAGAGACGTTAATTAGAAAATATACTGAGGAAGCAGAATTTTAACATAGGGAGAGAGAATTTTAAATGATGTTGGATTAAGTCCCGTTCATCTGAATTAATATAGGAGGTCTCTTGTTAGTATTGTATGCCAGGCAATGCAATATACGTTGCATGTTTTTATTTCAACATTGTAATGCCAATTCTACCCTTTAAAGATTTCCTTTATAATTTTATCTTAACCTTTTACCTGAACTAATGTGTGATTTTGTTTGTAGAATTTGTAGTTAATAGAACATACATGGCATGTAGCCAGGAAAAGTTTGATTGCTTGTTGATTTTTTACAAAGGAACATTGTCACCCAGACAGTTTGTTTCAAGTCTGACATTGTAACTTATCAGTGAAGAATTGCTTTTCAACTTTTAACTATTTGGAATTATAGGAATAATTAATTTGATCATTGCACCTTTTATTTCGATTCCGTTAGAAACTTGTATTAAGGAAAATCTACATTTGATCTGAATTATAAGAAGCTGTCTAAATCGTGTATATTTAGTATAATCTTTTGTTGCATTTTCCGTTAATTTAACCACATTGCTTTGGTCCCATGACAAGTTCAGCACGTCCAAGTACAGAAATCAAGTTACTGCAGAAGATTTCTTTTAAATGTTGAAGTTACTTCAAGCCTACAATTCTAAGATTGAAGGGTACAGAAATATTTTGTGTTTTGAGGAATTTGATTGGTTTACCTTCAAATCATAGAGTCGTTACAATTGGGAAGGAATCTATTTCAGCCCATTGTGCGTTTACTGGCTGTCTACAAAAGAGCAAACCAGTTGGTTGTACATCCCTCTTTATTGCCGACAGGGTTCCTATTTCTTTCCCTTTGAAGTATTTATCCAATTTCATTTAGAAAGCAACTGATTTGAATATGCTTGCATCACTGTTTCTCAGGCAGTGCATCCCAACATATCTTCAATCAGGTGTGAAATATTTTTAAACATTTTGATTAATTTGTCAGCAGATTTGTTTATAGTTTTTCATTTTTCACCTAGATTTAAATACATTGAATTCAGGTATGCAATTTAAATGGTTCTAGAGCATGATGCTTAAAATGTGCCAGAAGCAAAATGTACAACTAGATGCATCTCCGACTGTATTAATCTCACATGGCATTGACTTGCTGAAAGTTGCAGTGCAGATAGAGTTGGCGCTTGGCTGCAGTAGGTGATCTGCCTGTAAAGTACACCCTGCGCTGTGCGGGTTTTGAAGATTTTCATTTCCTAAGATGGTGCTTCTCGATATGACACATGTTAGTGCATCAGATGTCATGTGATCTGAGTGAACATTTTGTGGGTTGAGGTGGCAGAAGTAGAGAGAGGGCAACTGAGCCAATGGTGGCTCTCAACGTGGTTTGAGAACCTGAATGGGTGTGATGTTGAGGATTGTTGGGGAAGATGATTAAAACTTGGGAACTTGCCCTGAGAAAAGTAAAATAAGTACCTTTTTATTGTCGATTTATAGGTAGTGGTTGTAGCAGCACCAAGCCAAAGTTGCAAATTACGACATTCCCACCAATGGGAGAAAGCATGAACGTTTTAGAGGGGCCCCACAACTGCCAAAGATCAGTCTAAGCTCCACAGCTGCCATTGCTGTTCTGAACGGGTGAACACAAAGTCTCATTCTATGATTTGACCCACAGTTTGGGCCCAACCCCCTCTTCCCCACTCGGCCACCAAAATGGCTGGTGCTTATTTATTTGTGTGTAAAGTTTGTTGTTGCCCATTTTGTTGGATCACTTTAGAGAATATTCTTTTAAATGTTGGTGAGTGATGATTTTGTTTAAAATCACTTTCTGTTGCAGCAGTTGCCCTAATTTCAGACTAATGCTGTAGAAACTGAAAGGCATTCTCTATCCCACAATAAACCTGAATTTTGTGGGCCTTTGTTTGTTTGTATTAAATGAGTGGGTCAGTATTTGCCAAATAATTGAACTAGTACAGAGTTGGGCATGGGTGTGGGCATCGACATTGGCATAAATTAGTTTCAATGGGTTACTCAGTAGTTGAGGAGAAAATGTAGGATTTTATAAAATAAGTATTGAGTTCAGTGTGAGTGGTCACTGCAAGTGGTAAAGACCATCCATCCTTGCTGAAGGGATATGGAAAGATGTTTTGTAAGATCTTTGAGCCTCTTTAGTAAGTGGGTTTCTTTTTTTGTGTCTTTGTTCCTGATGATTAGTTTCCTTATTGGCTGCAGGTGTTTTCCCAAATAATATTATATCTGTTATATTTCATGTTAGATACAGAACAATATTTATCTACGTATCACTTAAGTAACAAAACAATCTGTTACACAATTTCAATTCGGTTCCTAACTTCATACTGAAATCCAGTTTACTGAAATCCCAAGATAGTTCAAAATTTTCACCATAAATACTATCTACTTTAAGTAGATACAATATAAGTATACAGTGAAGTGGGAACTTATAAACCAATAATTCAGTTTCTGTCTTTTAAAAACCAAATGGTAATAGTACATGTTTTTCGTAAGTCACTGAAGTTTCTATGAATCAGTTTTGTTTTGCTGGCTGTTCTTGAGTTGCAAGATGTGACCTTGTTAAACTTGATCCAAAATATAAGGATTTATTGCTAGTTAATTTCTCCCAGACGCTTCCCCATTAGTTAGTTTTCATTTTAATTGTTGTTAGGCTTTAGCTGCACTTTCTGTCCCCAATTAGGGAGATTTGAGAATGCATAGCAGACAACGTGTACACTTTTGAAGTTATCCCAGTGGAGACTTTTAGTGTTTATGCCATGGTTGTTGTTTTTTTTTTTTTTTGGAAGTTTGTCATAAAAAATTTGCTTCTGATTTCTAATACCTGTTGTGATTTTTCTGATTCTTGTGAAGTGTAATCTTCTGTTATGTGGAGAAGTAAATTTAGCGTAGTCCCAGAGGACCATAGTGCTGCCCTCTCATTAGAGAGCGATGACTGGTGGATTAACCATACATCGGGCAGGGGAAATTTTGAGAAGGAGGGACTTTCATGGTAACCTCAGCTGGTACCGGAATGCTGTTGACATCGTTGTCTGCATAACAAATCAGCTGTCCAGCCAACTGAGTAACTGACCCCCTGAATAGCAATCCTCTTTCGTCTTCCTGTGTGTGTTTTTGGGAAAACAAATGGAGTTGCAAGTAAAAATGTATGCAGGATGAAATAGCTCGCTGCCTAATTTGAGTCTCTTCAGCACAGACTCTTGGTTCCAGCCTTGCTTGAGACTCCTCCATCTGTGATCAACACTTGTATAACTCCATGTTGTTTGTGGCCATATCACCAAAATTGGTCTCAATTAGAATTCTTAACATCAATACCAGCTCAAAGGAGTATTCTGAAACACTGAACCAAATAGTTCTTTAGTTTAACTTTGGCCAGTGTTCTCTTGAGCAATTCATTTCTGCAAGCCAACCATAGAAAATCAAATATGAAGTATTTGGGTGGAATTCCTTATTCAGGGCAAGTTCTTTCAGCACAGGTTCTATGTCAGTATTTCAGAAGTTTCATCTTTTGTGTCACAAGACACAAAAGTCAACCGAGACAAAATTACTTGAGTACTGCATTAAGATGTCTTTTTTTTTGTATAAGATACATTTAAGAGCTGTGGAAAACATCCTTTCATAACTCAGGTACAGGGTACATGATAAAATATTGTGCTTAATGATTTTGTTTTTTTCTTCTGTTTTGTTTTTTCCCCGCTTCTCCCCCCTTCACCCCTGTAGGTGGGTTTCTTTCTGATGCAGGCTGGTATAGTGATGCTGAGAAGGTGTTCCTTTCTTGTCTGCAGCTATGTTCGCTACATGATGAGGTGCTTCACTGGTTTCGTGCAGTTGAATGCTGCGTCAGGTGTGTACCAATGAAGAGAAGGCAAAGACTTGTGTTTGTTTAACATCTTTCACAATGTCAGAAAACTGAATTGGCTATGGCAAGTTTGAAATGGTCTGAAGTGCAGTCACTGTTGCCGTAAAATACGGCAACCATTTGCACAGAGCAGTCTCTCAAATAACATGTGACCAGATTATCTGAGACAACAAGGTACAGAGCTGGATGAACACAGCAGGCCAAGCAGCATCATAGGAGCAGAAAGGCTGACGTTTCGGGCCTAGACCCTTCATCAGAAATGGGGGAGGGGAAGGGGGTTCTGAAATAAATAGGGAGAGAGGGGGAGACGGATAGAAGATGGATAGAGGAGAAGATAGGTAGAGAGGAGATAGACAGGTCAAAGAGGCGGGGATGGAGCCAGTAAAGGTGAGTGTAGGTGGGAAGTTAGGGAGGGGACAGGTCAAGGGGGTGGGATGAGGTTAGTAGGTAGGAGATGGGGGTGCGGCTTGAGGTGGGAGGAGGGGATAGGTGGGAGGAAGAACAAGTTAGGGAGGCAGGGACGAGCTGGGCTGGTTTTGGGATGCGGTAGGGGGAGGGGAGATTTTGAAGCTTGTGAAATCCACATTGATACCATTGGGCTGCAGGGTTCCCAAGCGGAATACGAGTTGCTGTTCCTGCAACCTTCGGGTGGCATCGTTGTGGCACTGCAGGAGGCCCAGGATGGACATGTCGTCTGAGGAATGGGAGGGGGAGTTGAAATGGTTCGCGACTGGGAGGTGCAGTTGTTTATTGCGAACCAAGCGTAGGTGTTCTGCAAAGCAGTCCCTGAGCCTCCGCTTGGTTTCCCCGATGTAGAGGAGGCCACAACGCGTACAGCGGATGCAGTATACCACATTGGCAGATGTGCAGGTGAACATCTGCTTGATGTGGAAAGTCTTCTTGGGGCCTGGGATGGGGGTGAGGGAGGAGGTATGGGGACAGGTGTAGCACTTCCTGCGGTTGCAGGGAAAAGTGCCGGGTATGGTGGGCCTGGAGGGGAGTGTGGAGCGGACAAGGGAGTGACGGAGAGAGTGGTTCCTCCAGAAAGCAGATAAGGGTGGGGAGGGAAAGATATCTTTGGTGGTGGGGTCGGATTGCAGATGGCGGAAGTGTCGGAAGATGATGCGTTGGATCCGGAGGTTGGTGGGGTGGTACGTGAGGACGAGGGGGATTCTTTTTTGGTTGTTATTGCGGGGACGGGGTGGGAGGGATGAGTTGCAGGAAATGTGGGAGACACGGTTGAGGGCATTCTCGACCACTGAGGGGGGGAAGTTGCGGTCCTTGAAAAACAAGGACATCTGAGATGTACGGGAGTGGAATGCCTCATCCTGGGAGCAGATGCGGCGGAGGCGAAGGAATTGGGAATAGGGGATGGCATTTTTGCAGGAAGGTGGGTGGGAGGAGGAGTATTCTCGGTAGCTGTGGGAGTCGGTGGGCTTGAAATGGATATTGGTTTCTAGGTGGTTGCCCGAGATGGAGACAGAGAGGTCCAGGAAGGAGAGAGAGGTATTAGAGATGGTCCAGGTGAACTTCAGGTTGGGGTGGAAGGTGTTGGTGAAGTGGATGAATTTAGTGAGTGGGAGCACGAGGCGGCGCCAATACAGTCATCGATGTAACGGAGGAAGAGGTGGGGTTTAGGGCAGTGTAGGCACGGAAGACGGATTGTTCCATGTAACCTACAAAGAGGCAGGCATAGCTTGGGCCCATGCAGGTACCCATGGCCACCCCCTTTGTCTGTATCTGTTTTGTTGTTGATTAATGGACAAATATTGACCAGAATGCCTAGGAAACTTTGCTTTTCGGCATTTAAATTGTTTAATGGGATCCTAAGTTTAATGGCCCATTTGAAAGATGATCCTTCCGACAAGGCAGCACTTCTTCAATATTGTATTGAAATGGCAACCTGGATTATATGCTCAAGGCTGTGGCGTGGGGTTTGAACATAGAACCTTTTTTCCTCAGGAGAGTGTACAATGTTAATACTATTAAATTGAATATTTTAGTTTGTGTACATAATGTGAAGGTCATCAGTCAGCAACTTGCTAAGGGTATTTGTATTCTTGTGAAGAGCACGTGCTCTGATTTTTCTTCATGGCCCTTTTAATCCTGACTGTGAGATTTCCTTGCAGACCTGTTTCAGTATATGCTGCTGTATGGTTGATCGTTTGACCATAGTTAACCCATCTAATTTTTGTGTTACCTTTGCCAACTCCTTGTGAAACTTGGATCAGAGAGTTATTGTCGTGGGTTGAAATGTAATCACCCAATTTTTGATGGAATGCATTAAAATGTATTATTTTGTATCCCAGTATTCTGAACAATGGAATTGTAAGTGTGGCACTGACCTTTTTGGGAGGAAAATAGTATTCCAGCTTGAAAATCTCGACCTTTTTTATTATTGATTTAAAATTTTTCTAAATTTTAGCAATTGGAGGATCACACAGCCATCGCACCATAAACAACTTGATAAATAGTTGTACTCATTATACTGTCCAGTCCATGAAGCAATCAGTCAAATGCACAGAACTTCAGATGGTGGCCCAGATTTTGTGGGACTGTAACGGTGACGCTATCAGTACTCAATCAAACAATACCTCCCCACTGCATGTTCACACTGACATATGGAAATCGGGAAATTACTGTCCAGGGTTCCCAGACCTCTATAGATCCCATGAAAGGAGTGTCTTGCTGAAAGACTAGGCTTTCAAATGTATCAAAAGTACAAATGAAACTTCTAATTTTTTTTGTCTTCTCTTGCCTCTAGACCCTTCCTTTAATCTTGCCTCTCTTTGCTTTACTTCTTCCGTACATGATTTAACATTGAATTAACTATTCTAGCTTGCACTTCCTGGGTTGGATCTTACAACACTCCACGTGACGACTTCAAACTGATTTGTTTAAAAGGTGTACTCTTGCTTGCCCTGTTCACATACCCAAATTCCCTCTTCAGAAATGTGCATATAGAAACCTGTTTGTAGGATGTTTTAACCCCATGTGCATTAATTATAATTTTTAAATGTTATACTGTTATCTCAATCCATATAGAATGTATTCATTTTAGCCTGTGAATAATGGCCCTCTGCAATGGAAGACAAGTCTTGGCCTCTAGTGCAGTACTTTGTAGTTGAGGAATAATTGTTCCCGTGGTGTACAGAAAGGTGCAGGTTTCAGTTCTTCAAAGGTTCAGACTGCTCCTGGAAGTTCCAGTTGGTTGCAAGTGTTCGAAGAAAGCTGAAACCAGCTGTTGCCAGTAATCGTCAAGGTTATAATCAGGTGCCAGTTAAGTTTCAGTATTTGTTTGGACTGCTAAATATACTTTTTTAAAATAAAACTAAATGTTTATGGTAGGGGAAAATGCATGATTTTGAAAGGAAATTTGCAATAACTAATCATAGCATAAAAGGTATTGCAACCTTGATCTCCTCAAGCAGTTTTGTAGTGTCAGTTAGGACCTTTAATGTGATTCTCTATAAAATAATCTTTGTCAACGATTTTTAAATATTCAGTTCTAGTAACCTACAAAGTTGATTTGAGATTTTTCAATTCCGTCCCCAACTATGTCACCTAAGCTTAAAGTTTATTTTTTTGGAAGAATGGTGTTAGCTCAGGAACTTCCCAGGCTCCTGTTTTCAGAAGCTTGTGGACTAGACGTACAACCACATAACAGCATAAAGCATCCTTTCAGCATTGAGGTTGGTTGGCTCACAGAGCTGGTTTGTTCCGCATCCCGTTGATTTGCTTATATGTTTGGCCGTTGAAGGTGAAGTGGGTGGTCAGGCATAGGTCCAGTAGTTTAAGCATGTTGTCCTTGGAGATGGTTTCACTGGGGTCATGTTCTTGTTCAAGTAGTGTTGTCATTGTTTCCCTTGCTAGTGGTAACACCCACAACCGAAGCTACAAATCTACTCCAAAAGCTTAGAGATCCTTTTTAGCAAGCAGATTTTTCATTTTAAATTTGCGAGATTTCTCCCTTCCCCACCCACCGCCTGCCAGTTTAATTGATAAATGAAAAGCATATGAAATCTTCATGGTTCTCTGGGTAAGACAATTTGAAAAAATCAATAATTAATGCCTTAGCAAGCCTAGTATGTGATTATGTGCATTTAAGAGATCAAAGGTACACTTGTGTTCTCTCATTTCTCTCTTCTCCCTCCCCCACCAACATAATAGAGCAGAGTAAGCAGCTTGTCACTGCACCAAAAAGATCTAATTTTAAAATGGACTTTCACATTAAGAGTTAATAGTTTTAACCATTTATTTCTTACAGTAAGAAACAGTACAGTGAGGATTGTATACTACTTATTCATTAAAAAACAGTCCGTTTGTAATTGTGGCTCAGTTCACTAAAGTAGTTTTAAGCCAGTCGTTCAGAAAGACAGGTGAACATACTACAACAGATGGTAAATGCAGTACAGGTTCTGTACTTGTGCACTGAGGAACAAAATGACAACGATAGGGGCGTTTCAAAAGGCTACGTATGCATGAGACAAATAGTACTGAACCCAACATCATACCTGGTTCAAAACTTTACATTTTTCTAACAGTTCCAGACTTCCATCAATTCAGCCTAGGCTGGATTCCAGTCATAATCTATACTTGAAAATTTCCTGACAATATCATTTAGATTTTGCTAGAACACAAACTGGTGTGGAATCAACATAAGCAATCAAGGAGAAGACAAAATATGCCATCTGCTTTTAGTCCTAATCAAATAGTTCTTAACTTATCAAGGTCACACAGGTGCCACATAAGATGAAATTTCCTTGCCATTTTCAGTACAACATCACTTTTATTCTATTACTGCAGGAATGTTGTAAGAAATTTCCAGGCCATCATCTTCAATCAGTCATCCTTGATGAAAAATGCTAAAAGGGGTTGCTGTGAGTAATAGGTTTCTGATATGATTTCTGACTTCCAATTTGTCTGGTTTCAAGGTTACTCCATGTGCGTAATGGCAATTGTAAGTACCACTTGGGTGAAGAGACCTACAAACTAGCTCAAACCTACATTGATAAACTGGCAAAACATGGTCACCAAGCAAATAGAGCAGCACTCTTTGGAGAGCTCTGTGCATTACTCTTCGCTAAAAGTCATTATGATGAGGTAGGTTCGAAGTAATGGACTTGATGACCAAAATATGTGTATTGTCCGTGTATATGACTTGTTTCAAGAAATGTGTAATTCTCTACCCAGACACGTGCTGTATGATTCTACATCAGGTAAAGTCTGCAGTAGTTGATCTCAGTCTATACAGTATGTGAAAATTAATCCAGTATCTTGACATAATAAGGGGAAAATTAACAGAAATTTAATTTCCCCGATCCACTTGCTTCTGTTGCACTGCGTTAGGACAGCTTCAGGTTCAGTCCTTGTTTGAATAACTTGCTGTCTGGGTCACGTGCAAAAAACCCTACTTGGGCAAATGACCTGAATATTCCAGATCCCTGTGTTCAGGAGGGAGTAGAAAATGAATGCAAGATATTTGTTGTTCATATCAGCACTGCGAGCTGACTTAAAAATTCACCATTGTATGTTCGAAGTACCACTTTTGAACTATCTGTCACCTATAGTGTTTTGGATAGAATTATCGAGATATAGATTTTCAAATTTGGTTTAAATGTTTTGGAAATCTCTAAGGCCAACTTTGATTTGCAAAGTGCTTGGGGAAAAAAAAACTTGTCTCCAGGTCCTTAGGACATTGCAAAGTGTATCAGAGAATAATTTTTAAGTGCATTCCCTGTTATAATGTCGGAAAATACGTAGCCAGTTTACGCACAGCAAGGTTCTACAAGTAACAAGGAGTCAAATAATCATTTTGTGGACTTGGTTGAGGAACAGATATTGATTTATGAGCACTAGAAAACCTCCCATTATTTCAATATCGTTTTTTCTTAAACTAAATCCACTTGAAAGAACAATCCGAGCCAGCATTTTAATTGCCTCATTAGAGAGGCAGAAACCTCTAAAAATGCAGCACTGCCTCTGTGCTGCAATGACATGTCATTCTGGATTATTTACTGAAGTCTCTAATGCGGGTCTTGACCATAACCTGCTAAGAGTGAAAGTTATTGAGTTACAAGCGTGGATATACAAAAAAGAATGAAGATCACATAATTACGTTGTACTTTTCACCTCTTCTGGACATCCCAAAGTTGTGGTTAAAATGAGGTTACAACTAATGTCTTGCCTGAAGTTGCATTGTCTTTGATCTAAGTTTACTTTCACAGATGAGTTTGAACTGGTTTTAAACCACTTATAAGCAGGCAAATGCGATTGGCATGTTTGCACTGTAGATTTTCTTTCTTGGGGATATTGTGCTAGCTTCCTGGGAAAATCAAAGGATTGATTCCACATATTTAAAGGTCAAGGCATTGAGTAGTGTCATCTCCTTATTGAGACCTTGTATACCTTTTGACCATATGGTTACTGTTTTTAGATTTGGCTAGAGTGTTGGATATTGTAATCAGAGTGAGAGCATTACGTTTTCAGCTAGTCATTCAGTGGTTTAATTTAGGAAATGTTTTATAGTGCCACTGTGCACCGGATTGCTCATGCATCGCCCACGTAATGAACTTGGAGTATTTATTGTAGTATAACCTTGATTATGTGCAATGTCCTACATTATTGGAGTTAGTAGTATTGTACTACAATATAGTAGAAAATTGACAAGTGTTGTATATCCTGTTTAAATGTACGTAATTACCATGCACTTGTTTTCGTAGGCTTATAAGTGGTGCGTAGAAGCCATGAAGGAAATCACAGTTGGCTTGCCCGTGAAAGTGGCAGTTGATGTTTTGAGGCAAGCTTCAAAAGTGAGTAATTTGCTGTTATGAGGTATGGTTGATGTATTTGAAATTGTCTAAACAAAAGTGAAAAACATTAATGGATGGATGTTCTAATTTATTAAACATTTCAGCCATCATTTAAAAAAAAAATACTATGTACTTTCCTCCTCTTTTTCTACAAATTGGTGTGATGGTATGCACTTTATTTAATCCTACTCTGATTAATTAGTACCAGGTATGGTTAGTTTAATGCATCTGTCTAGTTGAAATATTTTCATGAGGTGTTGTAAATTCTGAGGGTTAAAAATAAGCATTATTATTTTTGTTTTAATTCCTTCAAGAACAAAATTCAGATGTAACTGGCAGGAATGGAAATAAACTACCACATCTGGAACATACAGATTCATGAGTTGCTTGGGACCAAATGAATATCATGAAAATTGCCTGGAAAGATTGAGTTCTGAAATATAGTGCCTTCAACACAATAAAGTTTCTGCAGTAATAGTCTATAGTTATTATTCATTAATGAAGAAATTTCATCCTGGCAAATTTATCTAATGTTCAAGTGTGTATACTGAAGTAGAGTACATCAGCTATTTCCCAAATATCCTTGTTAATACCATGCCTTCTCTCCTATTCATTTTACCGAAGTTACAAATTGCTTTCCTTACAAATATAAAACTAATTCCTGTCCTTGTGTGCACTACATGTAATGTCTCCAAAACAGACATGATACACAATTCTTTTTCTGCAAAACAGTTGCTTTTTTTCTTAAAAAAAAATGGAAAATTAATTCCCAACAATAATCTAATGGGGAATTTGGATCTTCATTTTTCATTGCATTTACAATTTTTAACTGTTTTGTGACCAGAGGTCTGTGACCAACAGTGTTTCACAGGGATTGGTACTGGGTCCACTTTTATTCCTCATTTATACAATCGGGTTGGATGAGAATATGGGAGGCATGGTTAGTAAGTTTGCGAATTACATCAAAATTGTTGGCGTAGTGGACAGTGAAGAAGATTATCTAAGAGTACAACTCTTATGTAAGAGATCAACTGGGCCAGTGGGCTGAGGAACGGCGATGGAGTTTAGTTTAAAGTTTAAGTTTAAGAGTCCTTTTAAGGTGAAAGGAGAAAGATTTAAAAGGGATCTGAGGGCCAACTTTTTCATGCAGAGGGTGGTACTTGTATGGAATGAGCTGCCAGAGTTGCTGATAGAAGCAGGTATAATTACAACATTTAAAAGATATTTGGAGAGGTACATGGGTAGGAAAGCTTTAGGGATATGGGCTAAACGCAGGCAAAGGGGACTGGTTTAGTTTAGGAAATGGTCGGCATGGATGAATTGGCCTGAAGGGTTTGTTTCCGTAACTGTGAATAAGAACAAAGAACGATACAGCACAGGAACAGGCACTTCAGCCGTCCATGTCTACACCACCACATTTTGCCCTTCCATGCTAAAACTATCTTCACTTACAGGACCCATATCCCTCTATTCCCTTCCTATTCTCGTATTTGTCTGTCCAGGTGCTGCTTGAATGCTGCTATTGTGTCTGCTTCCACACCACCTCCTGGCAACGTGTTCCAGGCACTTAGCACCCTTTGTGTGGAAAAACTTGTCTCACATATCTCTTTTAAACAACAACACCACCCCCACCTCGCACTTTGAACCTGTGTCCCCTAGTAATTGATCCATCTATTCTGGTGGGGTGGGTGGAGCGGGGGGGGAAGCCTCATACTTTCCACTCTATCCATGCCATTCATAATCTCAAACTTCTATTAGGTCGCCCCTCAACTTCCTGTGTTCCAGTGACAACTGACCCAGTCTACCCAACCTTTCTTCATAGCCAAAATCCTCCATACCAAGCAACATCCTAGTAAACATTTGCTGTACCGTCTCCAGAGCATCCACATCCTTCTGGTAGTGTGGTGACCAGAACTGTATGCAATATTCCCAAGCGTAGCCTAACTAAAGTTCTGTAAAGCTGCAGCATAACTTGCCTATCCTTATTCTCAATGCCCCTTCCAATGAAAGAAAGCATGCTTTTTTACTATCTTATCTACCTGCACCACCACCTTCCGTGATCTGTGAACCTGAACACCCAGATCCCTCTGCATATCAATACTCCTAAGGGTTCTGCCATTCACTGTTTAATTTCCACCTGTACTTGACCCTTCAAAATGCATCACCTCACATTTGTCTGGGTTAAACTCCATCTGCCATTTTTCTGCCCATGCCTCCAACTGATCTATATCCTGCTGTATCCTCTGACAGTTCTCCTCCCTATCTGCAACTCCTCCAATCTTTTGTATCATTTGCAAATTTACTTATTAGACCAGCTATAAATAATTTCTGTAGCTCACAAACAGCAGAGCTTCCAGCACTGATCCCTGCAGAAAAGCACTAGTCACAGCCCTCCTCCAAAAAGCATCCTTCCACTGCTACCCTTTATTTCCTATGACTGAGCCAGTTCTGTATCCATCTTGCCAGTTCACCCCGATACCATATGACTTCACTTTTGTACTAGTCTGCCACGGGGGACCTTTACTGAAGCTTTACTGAAGTCCATGTAGACAATCTCATCCGCTGTCATCTGATTCATATTATTAGGTGTACTAGAATCAAGTCATTTGTAGTTTTGTAATTGACTTGTTTCTGTTTCCTAGGCTTGCGTCGTGAAACGGGAATTCAAGAAAGCAGAGCAATTAATAAAACACGCTGTGTATTTAGCGCGGTAAGTTTCCATGCAAACATCAATCACAGAGAATTTTAACCTAAATTGCCAAGTTTTCATTATTGTACTTTTTGCGAAAGTACAGACCTTCATGTCAGTAATGGCCAGACTGATGTCTGTTCTATTCACTTTTTTCTGTTACATTTAATTTGATAGGACACAGTTAATGATGTGACAACGAGGGAGGTAATGGCCTAGTGATAATATTGCTAGACAGTTTGAGCCAGGAACTCGGCTACTGTTCTAGGGACCGAGGTTCAAATCCTGCTAAAGGAGATGGTGGAATTTGAATTCAACAAAAAAAATAATTTGGAATTAAGAATCTACTGGTGACCATGAAACCATAGTCAATTGTCATAAAAACCCATCTGGTTCACTAATGTCATTCAGGGATGGAAACCTGCCATCCTCACCTGTTTTGGCTTACGTATGACTCCAGAACCACAGCAATGTGGTTGATTCTTAACTGCCCTCTGGGCAATGAATGCTAGCCAAGCCAGCAATGCCTACACTGTATGAATGCATTTTTCAAAAAAATAGGCTGATGTGCTACTCTTTACTTTGTAACAGTTTTTTGACACAAAGATAGGTAGGAAACTAAGGTGTGAGCAGGATGCAAGGAGTTTGGAAAAGGATATGGGTAGGTTCAGTGAGTGACAAAAATTGGTAGCTGGAGTATAATGTAGGATAATATGAACTTATCTACTTTGGTAGGAACAGTGCTTTTCAAAAAACAAAAGCAAATTATTTAAATGGGGAATACTTGCAGAATTCAGGCACAGAGAAATCGGGATATCCTGACACGTATCACAAAATGTGCATGCAAATACAACAAGTGATTAGGAACGCAAATAAAATGCTGTTGCTTATTGCAAGGAGACTGGAATATAAAAGTAAGCATGTTTTGGCTAAGTTTGGACATGGCATTGGTGAGACCACGTTTGGAAAATTGATTATAATTTTGGTTGCATCTAAGAAAGGATATTAGAGTGTTGGAAACAACTGTTTCCAAGGTTAACAGTCAACTGATAACTGGAATGAGGATTGCTACCTGACATGGAAAAGTTGGTCAGGCTGTCCCTATATCCAATTTAGAAGAATGCAAGGTAATCTTATTGAGACTTTGAAGATCCTGCTAGGACTTGATAATGGATGCTAAAAGGATATTTCCCCTCATGGGAGAGATGAGAACTAGTTTAAGAATTTTTTAAAAAAAAAGGTATCTTCCGTGTAAGACAGAAGTGAACCATTTTACCAAGAGAACAGTGGAGACAGTTTTCATATAGCTTTTAAGGCAGAGCTGGATACCTCTTGACTAGCCAAGGAGTCAAAAGGTTATTGGGGGTATTGAAAAGTGTGGATCAGATCAGCTGTTATCTTTTTGAATGACAGAGCAAGCTTGAAGGGTTGGATGGCCTCCTGCTGCTTTAAATTTATATGTACATAATATTATCACAGGAGATGCAACAAGAAACAAAATAAGCTGGACATAAAGGAAGAGACAGTGAGCAAAAAAACTGTACAAAACGCATGTAGAAATCGGGTGAGAGGGAAAGACAGTTTTGACAAGGTAGTATTGACAACACTTCCCCTTTTATTCAAGGAGAGGACTTGCCTTTTCGTTTCAACATACTTCAGTATTTCAAACAACGAGTTTTGAAAATTTACTACAGAAATGTCATTTTCTTTCAGGGAGCATTTTGGTCACAAGCATCCCAAATACTCTGATACCCTCTTAGATTATGGATTTTACTTGCTCAACGTAGATAATATTTGTCAATCAGTGGCTATTTATCAGGTAAGTTGGAACTTTTTTTTTTCAGTTGCCAGTTAAGGTGTATTTTAAATTATTCTGTCAAGTATGGTCTTAAGTCTGGAAACTGAATATAGTCCAATGACCTGCTTCCAATCTTGAATGAGCTGTACTTTCTTTTAACCAAAAAATAGGAAGCCCAAAGCTAACAGCTTTCATCCAGCCACACACTTGCACATGCGCGCATACACGCACACATCCGCGAGTGATGCATCCTATTTCAATGAAACTCCTGTTTGTAACAGTGTTTTATTGTTTCCCCACAATTTTAGTTTGCAGTCGCGATCACTTTGAGTCTAGCTTTTGAGCTTGAATGTTGCCTTCAATCACGTCACATGATGAGCCCTAAAGTGTTTAAATATATTTTTATCACTTTTATCCACAATTTGTTGTGACTACCTGCTATGTGCTTGTAACTAACCTGTATTTCTTTGGTTTCCATATCATTTCAAAACCTCAGTTGCCTATTTCTCACTCCCAGTCCAAGTTCTCTTGCTTTTACCATCTCTGTCCTTGCAAACTGTATTGGGTCTAACTGTTTGCACCTGAAATCTGTTGCTATTCATTCTAATTTAAAATGGGCATCTGACTTTTAATTAACTTTGTGACCCTATTCCAGTCATACAGCAACTCCCACCCCTGCCCCCACCACGCCACCAAAAGCTCTCTAGAGCCAATGGTGTGACTCCTGACATCTTGCTTAATTTGCCTAGGTTCTGGCAGATGCTTTGGAATTCCATTCCTAAAATTACAGTACCTTGGCACACTATTTTTCTTTCCTTTTTTGTTTTTTCATTCAAAATATATCTCTTGTGCAGGTTTTTTTGTCACATCAATCTTGCCTCATCCATTTTTTTTTGCTTTCTAATGTATAATCATATAAATGCAAGTTGTCTTCTTTATCAACCATTTTTCTTTGCCAAACAACTTTCTCAGTCCACGCCAGCCTAGCCTGCCCTCATTCCTTGGTAGTTATTATTAAGGTTTGGCACAATTGCCTGTGACCTAAGTCTTATCGCTCACAAATAGGATGCTAAATTCTCCCATGTTATGATCACAGGTCCCTAAAGAACATTTTTTTTTTAAAAATTCTGAGATCATTTATTAAACTTGCTTCCTTTCACGTTACTAGATCCAAAAAGGCCTGACGCATGGCTGGGTCCACAGCATATTGTTCTAGGAAACTATTCTAAATACAGAATATGAATTCTTCCTTTGATTTTCCCAATCTACATAAAGGTTAAAGTCACCAATGATTAATGTGCTGCTGCCTTTTTTACAGTGAGGAAAAGCAGTTGGCAGTTTTGTCAACATTTATTTTTCAGGAAGGCTTTGAATCGTTTTTCCTTTTGCATGTTTTTTTTTAATAAAGTGTTAACTAATGTAATTATTATTCAAATTTTCCAGTCAAGGCACCCGCTAGTCAATTAAACTTTAATTAGGAGAGTGAAACAATGCTACTGTGCCAAAAGGAAAATGACTTGCGCTATTAAAACTTGCTCAATAATGATACAGGGGTTCCCTGATTTACAAATATCTAACTGATATTTGTAGCTGCCCTTTTTTTTTTATTTTAAGCAAATGGCAGCTTGATTTGAGCTGCACTATTTGTGATCTTTCACTTGAGCCATAATGTGGCCTCAAAAGTTATGCGAATTATTCTACTTGTAGGCAGGCTCAGAGGGTACATAGTATTAATTTATTTATTTTTGATATTTACAACTAGTTTGTCTGAAGAATTTTACAAGTAGGTGGCATTGCAATTTATCCAAATTAATTTTAAACTTTAACTTTGAACAATAGACAGCACTCGATATCCGGCAGTCAGTATTTGGAGGGAAGAACATCCATGTAGCAACAGCTCACGAAGACCTGGCTTATTCTTCTTACGTACATCAGTATAGTTCTGGGAAGTTTGACAATGCACTGTAAGTTATGTAATTTGTTACATGCCAACAATGTTTTCTGTTGTTTATTAAAATAGAAAGTTAAAAACACTTATTGGTCAGAATGGAATCTATTGCATTTTTTTTTTTCAGAATTTTAATTAGGTTGAGAAGGAGTGACATAATTTAAATATTGTTTTCACTTAAAATGAGAACAGTGTAAAACAGGATATAGATCTGTCATATATAGATAGCATTTGTATCAGAGCTTACATCTGTAGTTTATACCGTTCTTATTATTTATCTGTACTTTGGGTCTGCATTTGCTACAAACTGGATTGAGATTACTTTTTTTTCTTTCCTTCCTCTTTCCTTTCCCCTGCCCAACAAGGACTTCATCTCATATTTTTAAAAAATAAAGTAAAACTTTGAAGTTTGCAGGTCTTCTACCCTGATGGAAACGATATTCTTTTCTTTATAAAGTTAAAAATGTACTTTTCTTTTTCCCGTTACAGATTCCATGCTGAACGTGCCATAGACATCATCACTCATATCCTCCCTGAAGACCACTTACTGTTGGCTTCTTCTAAAAGGGTTAAAGGTTGGTATATTAGAATTCACTGTTTGTTCAAATCTTATGACTCAATACTTTTGAACTTTGAATGATCTATGCTTGCCTGTGTGAACTATAGATGTAAATTTCAGTCTGCAGGAACTATAATTGTGTTACAAAAATATTTCGGTATTTATCCTTAAGTTTTTGAAGAATACCACCAAAGCCCATGCAAGTCTGTTATTTTTTTTTCTCTAATAGTAAGACTGTTAACATGCACATGTAAAAGAAAAGGTAACAATGGAACAAACTCTGAAGTAGAATACTAAATAATAGATTTCCCAGAGGTATGATTTTTTTTTTGTGTGCTTTACATCTGTATGCTCCGTGGTAGGCAAGCTCCTCTAAAGCCTCTGCCAACACTGTTCCTATAGCACCAGCAAGTTGCTGCTATCGAGAAATTTAATAATTTTTATCCTTCTGGCCGTACCTTGTCTTCACTCATTACGTGGACAGTAGTGGAACTCTGCTCAGATAGGTTAGACATACGCGATTCTTCAGAATAAATTATATGTCCACACTCTGGAATGAATGCATGATGGCATTATGTTATAACCTGTCTTCATTTTTTAATATCTTAGTCTGGCTGAACAGACTAATCTTGGAATTGGTGTTACTGTACCAATTTATAATTATAAATGAATTTGAGAATTGTTATTTGAGCTGATGCATACCTACTGCTACCAATTTAAGAATATTTGGATGGAAACTAAGAGGTTGAAATTATGCAGAAAATTAATGTGGAAAACTTGCTTGATTTATGTAGACAGTACAGAATGCTGTAATACTTTTGAAATAAAACTGCCTGGTGATTACCATAGCTGTTTGCAGTACATGTACATGAAGAATGACGACTTCTACTCCTTGTATTCTAAGTCTTCAGATATTTCCTATGGAATATAAATGATATAATGATATACTTTATATAAATAATTTGGATGTGAACATAAGAGGTATGGTTAGTAAGTTTGTGGACAGTGAAGAAGTCTACCTCAGTACAATGGGATCTTGATCAGATAAACCAATGGGCTGAGGAGTGGCAGATGGAGTTTAATTTAGGTGAATGTGAGGTGCTGCATTTTGGAAGGGCAAGTCAGGGCAGGACTTAGACACCAAATGGTAAGGTCCTGGGGCGTGTGGTCAAACAAAGAGACCTTGGAGTGCAGGTTCGTAGTTCCTTGAAAGTGGAGACACCGGTATATAGGATAGTGAAGAAGACATTTGGTATGCTTGCCTTTGTTGGTCAGTGTGTTGGGAGGTCATGTTGCGGCTGTACAGGACATTGGTTAGGCCACTTTTGGAATACTGCCTGCAATTTTAGTCTCCCTGCTATAGGAAGGATGTTGTGAAACTTGTAAATCTTTTCAGAAGCCTTTCAAAGATGTTGCCAGGTTGGAGGGTTTGAGCTATTGGGAAAGGCTGAATAGGCTGGAGCTATTTTCCCTGAGGTGTCGGAGGCTGAGGGGTGACTTTTTATAGAGGTTTATAACATCCTGAAGGACAGGGATACGGTAAATAGACAAGGTCTTTTCTCCAGCGTTGGGGAGTTCTAAACTAGAAAACATATGTTTAAGGTGAGAGGGGAATGATTTAAAAGTGAGCTAAGGGGCAACGTCTTCATACAGAGGGTGTTGCGTATATGGAATGAGTTGCCAGAGGTAGTGGTAGAGACTGGTACAATTGCAGCATTTAAAAGACATCTGGGTGGGTATATGAATAGGAAGGGTTTAGAGGGATATCGGCCAAATGCTGGCAAATAGGACTAGATTAATTTAGGATATCTGGTTGGAATGGACGACTTGGTCTAAAAAGTCTGTTTCCATTCTTCGTACCTCTGACTCTAACATGCTCCAACTGGGATTCTGCAGTCTCAATGCACAGCCCCAGTCAATATTGCTCTAGTGACTGCCTGTTGAAATAACCAGGCCGTAAAGCATAGTTGAGAGTCCCAACTGGATCCTTGAGGGGTATCACTGGTAACTCTGCCAATTGGAGTACTGCACAATATTTTTTCACCTGCCACCTTCTGAACTTGGTCAATAATTTGACTTTGATTCCATTGTCTTTAACATGAATTAACAGTTTTATGATGGATATTTTATCCAGTGCCTCTGCATTTCATAAATAACATCTGTAGACATTTCCATGTCCAAACTCTTGGCTACCTTTTCAAAACATTCCACTTCGGCATGACCATCTTGTACAAATGCTCGTCTTTTCTGATCAACTGAAAATTTTCAATATGTTCAATCACGCTACCCTTAATTATAATTGGCAGTACCAATAACTTGTTGGCCAACTGTTTATGGGTCCCATGTTTCCCTTCTCAATACGTGCAGCTTTCCAATCTAAAGGAAATTTTCCTAATTCAAAAGAACTTTAGATTGCAGTTAGTCGTTTAGCAATCTTCATTCTTTTAAAATTTTCTTTTGAAAATGTGAGGCACCAAAATGTGACTAGTTTAATTTTATTTACTGCTGTTTTGGTTGCATTTATTTTGGTGAATCACTATCTTTTACTCAATATTGGTTTCCTTGGGCATGTCTGGCATGCTATGTCTCATTCGAAGTGCTGATGTAATAATTCAATATGTCTGCCCTTTTCTTTGTTCTGGTACTTACCTGTTTAGTCTTTTAGTTGGGGGCGCGGTGGAGGAAAGTGATATGATTTAGGAATGTGAGATCTGTAATTCGTAGAGCACTCTGAAGATTTAATCTTTTTTTCCAAGATGCTGAAATAAGCACGTAATACTAGCATTTAAGACTAAAAATGCTTCTCCAGCTGAATCAGTCATGTGTATCTCCAAGGACATCTGAAGCACATTGCTTTCTCTGATTATGTTTAAGGATAGAAATTTGATATTGAATTCAACACACTATCTTTCCAAAAAGGCTAAGGGTTTCAAAATAGGTATCAGAAGACAAGCAGAATTTTTTTGGCATATTTTGTGTGTGAATATTGGAACTATTTGTTGCGAAGTTGGGCAGAGTGCTTGTGGATTGGGAAGCAGGAAGTTTGAATTTGGTGTTTGTAAAACGCGAGAGGGGAAAGGACTGTGTGGTCCCTTTAAAAGATTGTATGCTTATTTTGTGCTTAGAGATTTAAAATTGAAGTCTGTGAGCAGTAGCTTGAAAGTTTGCAAGTACACAGAGCGTCCGCATTGAAACATTTATATCGAAAGGCCAAATTCAGCAGGCGAAGCAGCAGTTTTTGCCAAGATAACATGCTTTTGAAATTAGCCAATCAATTTGAACCAGGCACACAGATACCAAAAACCAATTAAATTTAAATCTGATGGTTTTGACACTATAGTATTTCTTACAATAGGATTGGTCCTGGTATGTCATTAAGAGTATAAAAGAAGGGGGACAGTTGGACAAAGCCCCAGAGCTAGCGGCTGTCCGCCAAGCTAATAGCCCTCAGCTCTCGAATTAGATCAGTATACCATTAGAATCTTGTTTTATTCAGGACTAGGTAGTAGTTAGAAGGGATTTATTCGTGTTGTTAATAGTTAGTTAATTTGTTTGCTGTTAGAGTTATATAAATTGTTACTCGTTGATTTTTAAGGTGAGTGTCCGGGAATTATTTCATTTTTAACCACTAGAAGCTGCTGAAAAGCAGGTTGCACCACTTTTGTCACACTTTTTTTACAGATTATAGGACACTTCTTTGGGTGTTTTTGTTTTAGTTCTCACTGGGGCAGTGGGTTGGCAACCTGTGCTTTATAACAGATTGGGCGCTTGTCTGGGATCTGGACAGATTTGTCTGCTGCCTCAGCGCCAGGGACCTGGGTTTGATTTCACCCTCTGACAACTGTCTGTGTGGAGTTTGCACATTCTCCCTGTGTCTGCGTGGGTTTCCTCCGGCGCGCCGGTTTCCTCCGGCGCGCCAGTTTCCTCCCCACAGTCCAAAGATGTACAGGCAAGGTGGATTGGCCATGCTAAATTGCCTGTAGTGTTCAGGGATGTGTAGATGATGTGGGTTATATGGGGATGGGTCGGTGTGGACTTGTTGGGCTGAAGGGCCTGTTCCCACACTGTAGGGATTCTATGATTAGAATGCATTTAGGGTATGAAAGGTCCCTGCAGATTTAAACAGAACTGGGGACTAGTTTCCTAGATCTTTAAATGAAATTTAAGTGAAAAGTGGAGAATCTTCTTAATTTTGGCTCCTTGTTGGTTAAATCAAAAGTGGGGAAATGGCTCAGTCACTTAGACTTTCTGGGGTCAAAGAAGTGACTTGAGGGGTTTTACAAAAGGCAAGCTAGGCAAAGCTGCTGGAATTGGCAAACAAGCTGGAGTTGGGATTGCCTTTTGTCTATCCAAAAAGGCAAGGTAATTACAGCAATAGTTTGACATTTAAATTTGCTGGAAATGCCATCAGAATCTTTGGAAATGGCTAGAAATCACTTGCAGAGGAAAAAGAAAAGGAAAGAATTGCCCTGGCAGAACAAAAAGGAGAGGAAGGCCCTAGCAGAGGAAAGGGGAAAAAGAGAGAGAAGAAAGAGAGAGTAAGTCGACTTAAAAGGATGGAGATGAAGGTAGAAGGTAGGCTTAGTGAGAAGGATAGCGATGATGAGCAAATCTGTCATAGCCAAAGGCCTGGTAGGGATATAAAAAAAATGTCCAAACATTACCAAAATTCATTGAAAAAGATGTGGAAGCCTTTTTCACTTCCTTTGAGAAATTCGCTAAACAAATGAACTGGCCAGAGACTCTGTGGGTAATGTTAATTTGGACCAAGTTGGTAACAGGGCTAATGAGGTGTTTGCTGTGCTGTCAGAGGAGATGTCAGGAGAATATGAAAAAGTAAAACAAGCTACTTTGAGTGCCAATGAATTGGTACCAGAAGCGCATAGACAACGGTTCAGAAATGTCAGAGAGGAACCAAGTCAGACTTGTATCAAATTTGAAAGAATGAAACAGAGCAACTTCAATAGACGGATGACAGCATTAAAGATCGAGAAGACAGATGAGGTTCTTAGAGAG